TGGTCAGGCACCAGTACCCACACACACACACACAGGGGCATTTTGAGGCTCGGGACAGCTTCGCAATTTCCTCTAATACCCGGTGGAGGCTGCCCAGGCGCCCCCCCCCCCCCCCCCGCTTGAAGACATTGATACTTCAGCTCTAGAGAAGACTGGTTGACAAGGATAACGACTGTCTTGGCTAACTACCATCTGTAACACGCACGTTACAGTTCACCACAAACAAGCATGACAGCTGTAAGCGGTCACAAAGAGACGTCGCAAAAATAACGAGATGAATTAATATTATAACGAATTAATAACGAATGACACAGGTAACTGCTCAAGAAGCAAGTAAAGAGATCTAGACCAACAACATTATAACCTTAGTAAATGTGGAAGAGAAGATGACTTACACCGCGGAACACAACAGTGCTTCTCTCTCTCCACTGATTGATAAAGATTAAGCCACCCAAGAGGTGGTACGGGCATGAATAGCCCGTAAAGGTTCTGTCTCTCGTTGTTATTTAAGATTCAGCTACTGGGAACAAAACGTTCCAAGTAGCACGGGCTATGGTGAGCCCGTAGTTGACAGGAGCGGGGCTGTAACTTGTGTGTCCCTGTCTCTCCCTGTCGCCTTCTCTTTATTTGGAAGACAGACAGGTACAGACGATGGAAAAGTTATAGAAATGTGGAAAGTAGTGAGTTATGATAGCAGGCGGGCTGTCCGCTTTGCTGACACCATGTTATGATAGCAGGCGGGCTGTCCGCCTTGCTGACACCAGCATCTTGGAGTAATCTTTCTAACATTGGGTCTTCTAACATAAAGATGGTGTTCCACACCCTGATGGCTTGGTGCTGCAGTCTGATGTATAGTGGCTGTGTGTTCAGGAGTTCCTGGACTGTCTGGTCATATGGTGGACGGTGTTTTGCTGCTCTCCTTAGCGCCTTATTTTGCACTGCTTGTAGTTTTTGCTTGTTGGTTTTCTTTAAGGTGTGTAGTGGTACTGGGGGATATTAGAGGTGGTGCGGGCTTGTGTAGGTGTTGTGGTGTGTTCCTGTTAAGGCTTCGGAATGTCTTCAGTTTTCCTAAGGCTGTTTTTGCTTTGTTTATTCTGCCATTTACGTGAATTAATGTTTATTAATGTTACTAATTCATTACGAATAATGTGTACCAGTTTATTACCTGAAGCGGCTTCACTAAAACATGATTATAACCACACAGTCAAAGGCTTAAGCTTGGGACGATAAAGCTAATACCAAACAATTAAGATTTCTCAGCATACGTAAACAACCTCATCCCATGTTTTGTTTCAGACTACTACTATGTTATTCAGCCAGATTTCTCATTTGCCACTACGTAAAAAATGCGACCGTTTTTACCTAGCCAGAAACGTGCGAACCCAAGCAACCCACCTAACCTGTCGTGGCCGATGTATAGAAACTTTGTGCTTTAATTTTTGCTTTATTTTGTTTTCATTTATTTTTTAAATTTTAAGTTCGTGCTTTAATTTTGACTAATAGTCGCATGTTTAACGGTTTGGTCGACTTCGTAAACACTTAAGAGGTGTTAATGTAGTTGAGAAGAGCGGTCGATGAAGGTGTTAATGGTACTGGAACACTTACTGTTGTGTTCAGTAGTGTTTTGTAGTACAAGCTGAACACTTCCTCGTGTGTGGTGATACAATGGTTGGTAGAGTAAATATTTCTCCAGGAGTGTGTGCGTGTGTGTACTCACCTAGTTGTGCTTGCGGGGGTTGAGCTCTGGCTCTTTAGGCCCGCTTCTCAACTCTCAATCAACTGATTATTATTTTTCACACACACACAGGAAGCAGCCCGTAGCAGCTGTCTAATGTATGTGTGTGTGTGTGTGTGTGTGTGTGTGTGTGTGTGTGTGTGTGTGTGTGTGTGTGTGTGTGTGTGTGTGTGTGTGTGTGTGCGCGCGCGTGTGCATGCACTTGTATTTACTATTTGTGCCTGCAGAATCGAGCTATTAGCTCTTGGGCCCCGCCTTCCTAACCAATCTTTTTTCCCCTATGTCTACTACATATATTTCTCTCTAACACACACACACGTTATAGGCCCTGGTGGCTGAGTGGACAGCGCTCAGGATTCGTAATCTTAGGGTCCGAGGATCTATCCCGGCGATGCAGAAACAAATGGGCAGTTTCTTTTACCCTGATGCTCCTATTCACCTAGCAGTAAATAAGTAATTGGGAGCTAGTTAGCTGTTACGGGTGGTTTTGTGTTTGTGGGTGGGAGAGAAGAAAGAAAGAAAAAAGTTGATTCACAATTGAGAGGCGGGCTGAAAGAGCCAAAGCTCAACCCCCGCAAGCACAACTAGGTGAATATACACACCCCGAGGATTGTTTCTGCCTCGGCCTGAAATCAAACCTGGACCCTTAGGACTACGACCTCCGAGCGCTCTCCACTCAGCCGCGAGACCCCACGTGTGTGCGTGTGCATGTCTGTAATTATCTAAGTGTAATTGGTTCTATTTCACGGTGAGAAATTATAGTCCATACAACCATACAATGGGAGCCAACTGGTGGAGGAAGCCACCAGGGACGTCAGTTCGATCCCACATGCACCATCAGACTGTACAACATAAAAGATCCTCCCAGCAAAGATGAGAGATATTGCAGGTACCAAACTTTAAGAGTTTAAGAGTACACTGAACACTTAACTGCAAGAAGTGCTGGACCACTCGTGTTGTAGTGGATATGTGAGCCTGCAGAACGCTCTGCACAACAGTCTTCTAGAACAAGTTATCACAAAAGAAGCCTGGCCCCAGGCCGGACTGGGGGTTGGAAGAACTCCCAGAAGCCATATACAATCACCCATTAGTGTGTGCTTGTGTAATGTCAACTCCACAGGGCGACCACTCTCTCTTAATCTCCTGCAAACACATATATTCGAAATGTAGTTGGAACAATGGAGCTTTCGAGGCGGAACTTTATCTGTTGTTGCTGCTGGAGTCACCTGATCAGCCAGGCTGTGACGGCTGCAGTGCGTCTGCAGGCTACTACGAAGTCAACATAGCTTCAAAGACCTGGTATAATCATCAGGGAAGGCTGTGGCCTCAGACCAGGCTGCTGGAGTAAACAAAACTCAAAATCAACAGATAGTCAACAATTAACCCGCTTTTTAGAAATGAGAGTCCTGGCAGACTGCATGGAAGCGCGCCGATGACGTTCATGATAAAATACTTAAAGATTTTTTTACGAAACAGGAAAGAAATGCATGAAGGTCATGTGCCAGTCCATGTCATGACCCGCGCCGTGATGAATGAGGCAGCGGCGCGTCTCACCTGGTGGTGGACACCTCACAACACCTGTGTTTCCTCATCTCAAAGCACCAAAGACGCAATAAATTTCATTTTTATGACTATTCGTGAGTGAGACCGCATGAAGGATTTATCCATTTTCTATGTGTATTAAGGAACTGACTACCTATAGCGGACGGTATTCCGGTTAAGATGCGATCTTGTAGCCGAACAAGTTTCCGAATGTTGGTGTTGGCAGACGTTAGTAATATGTGGGATTATGTGCATGTTTAGACACACATGTGAACACTTAATAATATGTGGGATTATGTGCATGTTTAGACACACATGTGAACACTTAATAATATGTGGGATTATGTGCATGTTTAGACACACATGTGAACACTTAATAATATGTGGGATTATGTGCATGTTTAGACACACATGTGAACACTTAGTAATGTGGGATTATGTGCATGTTTACACCCACATGTGAACACTTGTACATCAGTTGATTGACGGTTGAGAGGCGGGACCAAAGAGCCAGAGCTCAACCCCCGCAAGCACAATTAGGCGAGTACTTCCGTTCTGAAATGAACATATCAACGAAACCTCTGATTCGTCCTTAACGTACTGATCCACACGTGGTTGCCGTAGCTCTTTCATATATACGCCAGAACCAACTAGTTACTGCAGTGAGTGCCAGACCAACTGGGCTGTAGTGGGCCGTCCCAAGCACCAGCATTTTGGATCAAGTTATCACAAGTCAAGGCCTGGGCCCCTAGGTCTCTTGGTACACATGGGGTACACACAAGGCTGACCCCAGGGTACGACCCCAGGGGTACGACCCCAGGACTGAGGCAGCAGCAGAGCTAGTGGCGGCCTCAGAGGATAAAAAGGTGGTATTGTGAGTGGAGAGTGAGTCTTCGCAAGTGGTGGTGGGGGGGGTCCCTACGCCCCCTCCATCACTATCATCAACCCCCTACCACACTCACTATCGCTCTACCACACTCACTATCGCTCTACCACACTCACTATCGCTCTACCACACTCACTATCGCTCTACCACACTCACTATCGCTCTACCACACTCACTATTGCTCTACCACTCACTATCGCTCTACCACACTCACTATCGCTCTACCACACTCACTATCGCTCTACCACACTCACTATCGCTCTACCACACTCACTATCGCTCTACCACACTCACTATCGCTCTACCACACTCACTATCGCTCTACCACACTCACTATCGCTCTACCACACTCACTATCGCTCTACCACACTCACTATCGCTCTACCACACTCACTATCGCTCTACCACACTCACTATCGCTCTACCACACTCACTAATGCTCTACCACACTCACTATCGCTCTACCACACTCACTATTGCTCTACCACACTCACCATCACCACACCACACTCACCATGGCTCTAGTACCCTCACTATGAGGGAGACGGTCCAGCAGGGAGCTAGACAATTACCCTTGAAAAAGAGTGTAGGAGCTGTCACTCAGCCCTACAGGAGGACCAGCAGGGTCTGAGGGCCCCTTGCCTCCTGCAGGAGGGGCCTGCCCTGGGCCCTCACTATACACACCATCGAGGGATACCTTTGAGGGTCCTAGGAGTGACACGGTAGGACTTGGGAAGCTCCTATAGGAGAGAACACTTTCATTTTCGACGAACTCACGACGCAAAAACAACACTTGGGAACTATCCAGGTCTAAATATCTCTCTTAAGATGTCTTACCTTGAGACGTAGCGACGTAGGTGTCCGCCAAGACGTAATGGTAATCCAGTTTAGAGCGTTTAGATAGGAGTAGGCAGGCGAGCGTGGGCTAGGGAGACAACTACACACACACACTGGTTGGTGGGTTGGTGGGTCGGCTTTTAGTCGAGTAGGGAACCCACCCTTCTCTCTCTCTCTCTCTCTCTCTCTCACTCACTCTCTCACACACTCTCGACTCTCTCCACGCATGTCTAACTCCTTTCCTCCGCATCACTAATGTCCATATGTATCATACTATGTGTCTGAGATACATAGTATGCTTGGTGCTGAACGCTCGTTAAGAGTATACATGAATATATATACAAGTTTTGGGAAGGAACTGGCAACACTTCGTTCCCAGAGCGTTGACATATTACGGGCAGGGAATTATTGGACTTTAAATCCGGTCCTTGTGTATGTTTGTAAACAAAAGTGTGACACGTGGTTGCCTCCCCCCGCCTACTCCCCCTGAAATACATACACATACAATAGCTATGTATTACCTTATTACGTGAAATAAATGCGTAATGAAATACTAAGCGACACCTGAGATAGCCGGGGGGGGGGCGCCGCGGAGGGGTCGAAGGGATGGGTGAGAGGAAGGGGGGGAGGGGGAGAGGGGGCGTGTGAGGGGGCGGCGGCGGTCAGGGGGGGGAGCACCAAAGGGGGGGCGGGACGCCTAAACGCACACAGGGGCCAACAAAGGGGGGCGCGCGGCAACCGTTACTAGCCCCATGACTCTCTGGTTGACACTGGTGGATAGATGTTGACCCAGTAACTATCCCTGCGGTACTCCTCTCCCCAAAACTAGCCTCCACTATATCCCTAATACTATCCTTAATTCTCCTCATCGCTATCCTTCACTCTCCCTAACACTTTCCTTCACTCTCCCTAACACTATCCTTTACTCTCCCTAACACTATCCTTCACTCTCCCTAACACTATCCTTCACTCACTAACACTATATTCTTCACTCCTCCCTTAATCACAATACCCCATACCCATCCTGTGAGTGGGTGAAGGACCCCCATACCCATCCTGTGGGTGGCCAGTACGTATAAACTTTTAAAATAAAGCTGAACTAATCAACACCTTGAACATAAAGTTGATGTACTTGTTTGCCCAAATAAAAGCTAGGGTCTTTCGTAATAAATTAGAATTAGAGAATTTGTGTTAGAATTAGCAGAGGGGCTTTTCTCGTGATCATTTGTACAATTGATACATTTCTTCCTGAACTGAAGAGGTGCACATAGACCTGTCTAAATCCAAGATAAACATTATTTTGTTTGGTGTTGGGCCTATCAACCTCTGGAGGGTTATTAAGGGGCAAATAGATAGTTTTTTAAAGTTGTTCAATGTCAACCAATATTTTTTGACTAGTTGTATATGAAAAGGGCTGCAATTGTTCCAAGTTTCAGTACTGCAGCCTAAATAGAAAGGGAGATTTTTAATTTTTTTGTATTTTTTCAACGAATTTTACACATTTTCAAGTGTGTATTTACAACCACACCTTTCAAATATAATCATTCTATGAAACTTTTCTGTCACATTAGCATATAATAAAGGATCTGTTGCCAGTTATTTTCCATAACATCTTTAGTTTTCCTAATACAAATAGTCAAAGTTCCCCCCAAAAAATTATGCAAATATATCATGTTTATTTCTATTATAAAATCAATAAATGAACTTAGGAAACAAAGCTGGCATCAGATTTTAGAGACATACACTCTACATATAAGGTGTAAGTTTCATGTAAATTGAATAAAAAATGAAAGAGAAATATGAACGTTTATGTTACTTGAAAATAATAAGTAAAAAATAAAGTCTAAGGTGCTGCCATCTGTGACTGAGGTTGACATCAACCAATTTCCTGGCCCCCTTGGCACCCTTACAGATAGGCTTACGTGCAGTCAGGTGTATAAGTTTCATGCAAATCGTCCGATAAAAAAAAATTGAAAACAAAAAAAATTAACTTAATTTTTTTAATAAAACTGGTTATAATTTTTTTAATATATGCTATTGTGATACCTGAGCGTCACAGACATGATTTCAGTTGACACTTGTGTTTGATAATCGTTTTTGATCATTTTGGAAATTTTTTGAAACACAATTCAATATTTTTTTCTCCCTTCCTATTTATGCTACGATGCTGAGACTTGGACCAGATGAAACCCTTTTCATATACAACTAGTAAAAAAAAAAATTGGTTGACATTGAACAACTTTCAAAAAACTATCTCTTAGCCCCTTAAGGCCTATCAACGTTTGGAGGGTTATTAAGGCCTATCAGCGTTTGGAAGGTTATTAAGGCCTATCAACGTTTGGAGGGTTATTAAGGCCTATCAACGTTTGGAGGGTTATTAAGGCCTATTAACCTCTGGAGGGTTATCAAGTCCTATCAACCTCTGGAGGGTTATTAAGGCCTATCAACCTCTGGAGGGTTATTAAGTCCTATCAACCTCTGGAGGGTTATTAAGGCCTATCAACCTCTGGAGGGTTATTAAGTTATATCAACCTCTGGAGGGTTATTAAGTCCTATCAACCCCTGGAGGGTTATCAAGGCCTATCAACCCCTGGAGGGTTATCAAGGCCTATCAACCTCTGGAGGGTTATTAAGTCCTATCAACCCCTGGAGGGTTATCAAGGCTGCCACAATAGTTTACAAACCAGTAAACCAGCAAGTATACCACCGTCTCCCATATTGTCCAGGGTGAAGGTAGACTCTCAATATACATACACAGAGAAGCGGACGACATACACACCAGCTCTTGGTCTGCTTTACCAAGAGTGGGGTGTATAGTGTATCATATATATACATAGTTACTTAGGGCCTCGATGACTGAACAGTCAGTACATGTATATGGTGTACCAACTGACATATACATTTTGTGTATACTAAGACACTAATGCTTCTATTGGATGGCCCTCAAGGTGATATCACGTATCTGTGAGATAATGACCCAATAATACAGATATCAGTTGTTCTGTGACGTTATCTTGGTACTTATACTCCGCTGGGATGGTCCTGGGTGCCCCACCTCGCTGGGATGGTCCTGGGTGCCCCACCTCGCTGGGATGGTCCTGGGTGCCCCACCTCGCTGGGATGGTCCTGGGTGCCCCACCTCGCTGGGATGGTCCTGGCTGCCCCACCTCGCTGGGATGGTCCTGGCTGCCCCACCTCGCTGGGATGGTCCTGGGTGCGTGCCCACCTCACTGGGATGGTCCTGGGTGTGTGCCCACCTCGCTGGGATGGTCCTGGGTGCCCACCTCGCTGGGATGGTCCTGGGTGCCCACCTCGCTGGGATGGTCCTGGGTGCCCACCTCGCTGGGATGGTCCTGGGTGCCCCACCTCGCTGGGAAGGTCCTGGGTGCCCCACCTCGCTGGGATGGTCCTGGCTGCCCCACCTCGCTGGGATGGTCCTGGCTGCCCCACCTCGCTGGGATGGTCCTGGGTGCCCCACCTCGCTGGGATGGTCCTGGCTGCCCCACCTCGCTGGGATGGTCCTGGGTGCCCCACCTCGCTGGGAAGGTCCTGGGTGCCCCACCTCGCTGGGATGGTCCTGGCTGCCCCACCTCGCTGGGATGGTCCTGGCTGCCCCACCTCGCTGGGATGGTCCTGGGTGCCCCACCTCGCTGGGATGGTCCTGGGTGCCCCACCTCGCTGGGATGGTCCTGGGTGCCCCACCTCGCTGGGATGGTCCTGGGTGCCCCACCTCGCTGGGATGGTCCTGGCTGCCCCACCTCGCTCGTTGGTGACCATACATAAATTTCACATACATACAAGTATACAATATTATACAAATAATATTACTATATTATTACATTATTATTATTATTATTATTATTATTATTATTATTATTATTATTATTATTATTATTATATACACGGGCTTCTCAAAGTTCTTCCCATTTTTCCTGATTATTTTATAGAGCTGGATTTTGAAATTCAGTAATATTTTGGCATATCCGGATTCGTCGGGTATGAGGTTCCATGGGTTTATAACCCTATGGGATGAAAAAACATCTCATGTTTTCTGTCCAACATTGTGGCTGAGCTTGAAACCGTTGCTCCTTGTTTGTGTTACATCTGACCCATTAAAAAAGTGGTCTGGATCAATATGGAGCTCAAAGCTCAATATGCCTCCAAATTGTTTAGTATTTAAAAAGTTGCGCCGAGATCCGCCCTGTCTTGTCGGGTTGTTGTTGGCTCTGTAGCCCTTAACCGTTCCTGGTATGAGAGTTGACTTATTTCTGGAATGATTTTTGTCGCCCGGTATTGAACTTTCTCCAGAGCAGATATGTATTTCTGAAGAGTAAATCTCCATGCTTGGATACTATAACCCAAGTGCGAGCGAACCAAAGACTTCTACAGTTGAATAACTGCCTTATTTTCCTTGAAGTCAAAGATTCGTATGACTCGGCTTAGACTCGGTTATAAGTATCTCTGGGAATTCTCATTATCTGCTGATGCAGACCTGACCAAATGTAAACTGTGTCAACAAAATTATTAGCACACCCTCCGTCACTATGTGATGGAGTGCGAAAAGATACGTGAATTCAGAGACAATTCTATAACCAATGTTCCAGGAATTTGTAAATATTTCATTCAAAATTATCTGCTACCAGAAATTTTAGCCAAATATGAATTGCCTATTTTTCAGAATTGCAAAACCAATTCTGCTGATTGGTTTTGCCTTTTTTACTGTAGCTCCCAACTGTTGGGCATCCCAACTGTATGACCCACATGTAATTAAGGTCTTGCATTTTTCGATATTCAAAAGCATTTGCCAGTTTTCCAACCACTTGTGGCGTTCTTGTAGATCTCTTCGTAAGGCTTCAATATCATTTCCACTTCTCATTTTATCATACATCTTAGTCTCATCTGCAAATTTGATGATGTTGTTTATAATATTCTCGTCTGTCATTGTTGTATGTGACAACGAGCGTTGGCCTCAAAATGGACCTCTGCGGTACCTCACTTACCACATTTCTCCAGTCAGATTCATTTCCGTTTAGCACGTCCCTTTGCATTCTTTGTTTTATCCGTTCTAGCATTCCCCCCATTTATTCCGTGTGCCTGTAATTTCCTTTCCAGTCTTTCATATGTTACCTTATCCAAAAGGTTGTAAAAGTTCGTGTACACTACATCTACTGGAAGGCTTTTGTCCGAGTAGCTGGTTACCGTTTCCAAAAACATGAGTAGGTTTGTAAGGCAAGATTTATTTTTAACAAACCCATGTTGCGTTGATTTTACTATATTGTTTGTTCACTGTGAGATGGCGAATGATTCCCTCCCTAAGGATTCTCTCCATGAACT